TCAACAGTGTAGAGACAGTAACCAATCAACGGCCAATGAGCAATTGAAAGCACGTGCATTGGGCCCGGTTACAGTAGGAGGCTGGCTGCGGGGCGCGTTAATTCAAGGCCCACAAAAGGGTAAGCCTGGCACTCTGATGATGGAAACGAGAGTTTCCGAAACATCAGTACAAATACAATTCGACCCAAGAACTTGTCTCCTCCTCATCATTTTCTTTTTCGGGAAATGATAAACACGATATGATATCTGTACCTCAAATCTATGCGCGTATTCGAAAAGAAACCCCCTTTTCGTTCTTACTTTTCGATAAAGGATAAGCACGACGGGTCAGAGTAGAACAGAAATCGAAGAAAGTGGGATTATCAATTTTATCTGCTAAATCCATCGATGAACTGCTGGAAGGCAATGGGGACGAACCTAAGACGGCCTATTTGTCAGCCAGCCCGGCCGGTTAATTTCATTTTAAAAAAATAAGGAAGACAATGCCGTACTTTCAGAAATGCGAAGAATCATCTGCTAGCGAAGTTAACTTAAACTCTATCAAATGCTCATGCATACATTTAAAGAGAAAGAAAACTACGCGTTATCTTGAAATTATTATTCTCAAATTTTCAGTCAAGTCGACAAAAAGACTTTTTAAATTATTCATTACAAGACTTACTTGGGGACAATGGGAGTTGAAAACACCTAGTCAGACCGCTTATGGAGGAGAGAGAAATTTGAGAGTCAAACGGACATTGTTGAGAAAAAGGCATATTTGTATAATATTCCTAGATTCAGAGAGCGGAGGAAGTGTTTCAGTTGGATTCGCGGATGTTTTGTTGCCGCAACACGATTTAGGTTTCAGGTGCCTTTTGAGTCAGAGTAGTTTAAAAACATGAAGAAGCGCCTTCTGTGCATAAGTAACCACATGACGATCAATCAAGCATTAGAAAAAATCTCGCTGTTACAGTAACTTGCAGCAATTCACAGCACCTCGATGTCTCCAAGGGCTTGACTGGCCTATATTCAGCATTCGCTGTTAACCAGTTCCGCCATGACTGTGATAGGTTTGGCTTTTGCCACGCCATGTGTAGTAGTGCTCTGGAATCCAATTAGGCAGGTGCGTAGTCATTTTATACGTAAAACCACTAGCAGCAATATTGCCCCTATATAAACATTTGAAGTTTTAGATGCAATTTGCAAATGGTTGCAAAGAAAGTGTATCCTCGGGCCTGTTTGACAAGTCCGAACACTCATCGACTCCCGTCCTCAGCTCACTTGGTTGGCTGCTTTCTGGCCCTTTCTATTCTACCGAAGCTAATATTACTGTTCGGCCAAGATAGAAAATAACTGAAACAGTGCACTGGCTGTGTTTAAGGGTATATATAATGAGAAGAAGTGTTGATCGCTGGGACAAGAGTTTCATTCACCTGACGTTTCGAAATCCGTGGCAGATCCTTCATCAAAGACATAAGCAGAAACAGCAGCAGAACCGGGTAATGCATGCACAGGTAATAGCAGTATTTGTAGGACACCGTCACTATGATAGTGCATAATTATGACAATTAACGACTCCCCTGTCGAGGATAATTGCCCGCTTGTGCGTTAATTGCTTGATGGCCGGGGTGCAAATCCTGACCTGCTGAACTTCCTTCACCCGCGCTAGACTTGGGCGTGGTAATTTATCGGCCATCTACTTCCCCTGCGTTGATGGTAGACGATGCGTTGGCCCATGCGCTCCCACGGTGGCGACTTGTTTTGGCAAAGTTGAACTTCAGCACCGTTTATAGATTGGACGATTCATTGCAGTTACTTATAGACTTAAGGCCCATGAACCAGGGCTCAAATAAATCGTGAATCACACGATTGTCATCTCTCGCGAGAATTTCGGCCTCATCAAATTTGAATGTGTGGCCGGGTCTCGTCGAATGAGCCACAACTTGAGAATGGGCATCATTACACCGGACTGCTGCCGCGTGTTCGGCAATTCGCGTCCTGAGGAGCGTTTCAGTTTCTCCGACGTAATTGCGTTGTCCACAACCGCACCAAATGCAATAGACAACTCCAACTATTTTTTATGCTGTGGCAGTTGAACTTTTGGTTTAATTATCTGACGCCTCGTTGTTGACTCCGGCCTGTGTGCGACTCCAACTCCAAGTGGTGCAAGAAGGCGGCCGACGGCCTCCAAGACGTACAGGATGGCTCGCCAAAATTTGTGTTCGGTGTAATTTTGTTGCCCATATCGTTTGCGCGTACACCGGCTGATGAAGCTGCTTGGATAACCATTTTCTCACTGCTCGCGGGACCCATAGCCGAGGCGGTCCAAAAGCGATTAGAGTCGCTGGTCTTCCAACATCACCCACCGAAATACTGGGCGCAATAGGTGGATGATACCTTTGTCGTGAGCGAAGACGTTCGGGCGCTCATAATCAAAGGGCGTCTCAACAGCGTCACCCCGGACATGCAGTTTACGTTTGTGGAGAAAGATGACCACCAATTGGGACTCCTTGCTGTCCTCGGCTGCCTCAAAGATTGTTGTGGCCTAAAGACCAAAGGATTCAGGAAAGCGACAATCATGCTTCAACTACCGCACTTCAACAGCAACCACCCAATCAGCCACAAACGGAGTTGCGTAGAAAACGCTTTATCTGCGTGTTGAGATGCATTGCAATGAACCAGATGACAAAGTTGCCGAAATACAATATCTTCGGCAGGCGTTTGGAGAAAATGGCTACCCGCACAACTTTATCAACCGGTGCATGCGCAAAGGAAAGAGACAACAAAATTACACCGGTCCCAAACTTTGGCGAGCCATCCCGTAATTCTGAGGACAGCCTGAGGCTGAGAAGCCCCGAACGACGCCAGACTACGTACTAAATTTAAATCGGTTTTTGATTTGCATTATCCTGCTGCAATTAGGGATTTTAGGCTGGTGCGCAATTCCGATACAATGCGTTTAGCTGAATTTGGACGCAAATGCTCCAAAAGCAATGCTCATATTGGGGAAATAGTCGTGTTTACTATATTAATGGTAGGGCGGCATGATTCGCGAATTGTTCCACAATTTCAGTGAAAAGTAAAATCTCATTATGTAAAAATATGACCAAATGGGTTAAGCCTACTATTCCCGTTTAAGGAAACGCCAATTATATTTGTCGTCAATTTGTTTTGTGTTTGCTTCCGAGAGCTCGAAAAAGCAAAAATCAGTTGTTGGCATCTTCCACTGCGATATTTTAATGCGATTTATGTCCGAAGAGTTCCTTTCGAATGTTCGAGTGAAGAAAGTTTTCAGAAAAAATAGCCTAGACGGTTTTAATTTATGCCTTCCATGGGAAAAGCAGCGAATATTGCAGCAGCGCCATAAGGACTTGTGGGGGTAAAATGGACCCACTTTTCATATCCTTGTTTAAAGTTGACGCACGTTAAATAAATAAATCAATAACTACATTGAGATCCTTTGTGAAACAGTATTAATCGTGTTGGTCTAAGAAATATGTCCATATCATCTATTGCTCCGCTGAGGCTGTTGGGGTCTGTGAGTAGTCATTAGCTCTCTACTTTTCTACCTTCACTATATTTCTACTCACTATTGTTAGTAGGTCGATTTGTGTGGACATTCCACAAGTGCTGAACTACATCTGAGCCGTTAGTTGAGAAATGCTGAAGGTAATACCACAGTTGATTCATTTAAATTGCCATTTATAAAGGTTTCTATGACAACAGAAATCACTCATAAGTAGATAAAAACGGAATCATAACAACCTGTCGTAAGCTTTTCGCAATAGGCAAGGGCCGAATATAATTAAACTGCGACTATTGAATCAGTTGTTGGAGAAGAGTCCATCGTCGTTGGGCCGGAAGCTGGTTCATATCAAGTCCTCCTGAAGGAAATGTTAAAAATTAAACCACATTCCGAAATTAACTCTGCAGTCACTTGATTAGCAGTCTCGAGTTGAGGACGTCGAGGTCTGCTTTTGAGATTCAAGGTGGGGTTTGTTGTGACTGTTACACCACATATTTTAATCTCTCTATTTCAACCCCAATCTTACAATGAATAAAGCACAAAAGATATCGGAGAAAGGCATGAGTGAAGCGTCTTACATAGCTGACCGAATAGTCTACGCGTGACACACACGATATTGTTCTCATTCCACTGGTGTCCGACACCGGTCTCGAGAAGGGTCATTGCCTCCGCATAAACCAAAGTGCGACAACACTCAGTGTAAGCAAGAACTGTTGCAAAATCATTCTCAGCTCGCTGCATGACTAACTTAGTTTGTCAGACGTGAACGTTCCAAACTAAAATTGATTGCCCACCGTGATATATAAAGGTGCATCTGATTTACCACAGAAGATGATAGACCAAGATTCCATAAAGATGACACTCGCAACGGCTCGATACTTCAATAGCCGTGTTGTGTCCCCCAGTTGTACGTATGGGTTAGAAAACAGAGAGAAAAATCGAGAGTATTTTACTATAACAATTCCTGCGTACACATCAACTCTGCACGTGTCAGTTGGCCTGCCCCGTGTTCGCCAGAAAATCGTCTGTCTTTGCGTCACGGCGTTCTCGTCGGCAGCAAGTCCCGCCTCATGTGTACGCTCTCGCATTTATAGGCAATCAGTCCGTGCCTGCTTTGTCCCTTATTATTGGTCCCTCTGGGTAGCCATCGGATGCTGGTTGACCTCTCAAGGACATGCATAATTCGGCGGCGTTCTTACCCGTAGTCACAGCTCTTTGTGTCTGTGCGTTTACCTCTGTTCGCACGCGTTTGTCCGATGTGACCTCGGGGAACCTATCTGTCTGGATGGATGGATGGCAGGGGTGGCGGCTCACGTGTTCGGCTACCCTAAGAAGTCGCTATCGACGTTGTTCATCGTGCAAATCACCGTTGAGTGTTTCGAGGGAGGGCGACATATACCTGGATAAGTTAATAACGATAGCAGCCGTAATCTGCATTTATCGCACTCACTCCTCTCTCCCTTACTCACCTTAGCACAGTGTCAAGACGGAGTAGGGAGGCCT